TCATTTAGCATATATCGTATTAGTGTATATCTTAGATCCTTATTTACTGTTTCTGTTAACACTGTATAGTTTTGCTATAACTGGGACCCTGTGTACACAATTTCGTTCCACCTCATGTACCACATGTGATGCGAATGACAATAAAGAGCCTTGAACCCTTTCTGCAGTGGGAAATTAAAATCTACATTATGATAAAAATGTGTTTTCCGTCTCTTGAGGACCAGTGACTGAAGAACTTGCAGCTTTGAGCAGATCTGGTTTGATGTGCATTGTCTTCACACCTGCCTGCATCCACAGTGTTGGGACCTCGGATGTTACTGATTTATCCAGCTGAGACGGAGGTTGAGGAATCAGAATTTTTGATAATTTCCATCCTTGTCTGCTTGCTGAGCTCAGAAATTCGTCTCACATTCTTCTGCTTCTCTGTCAGCGCTGAAGGATGTGAGCTCGTTCAGCTGAATTATAGAATCAGCCAAGTTTCAGTAAAATAATACACTTTTTACTCCATACTGCAGATGTAAACATAGCTGTGAATATTTCACTTTATTTTCCAAGGAATGGTGTAGCTTTAACTCATGTCTAGTTATATTTTTTATTTGTTTGTTTGTTTGTTTGTTTTCACCCCAGAACACAATCTGTACATCCTCTGCCAGTCGTCTGGCAGCATTTGTAGCATTTTGACGTAGTTTCTCCTCCGTAATGCAAAGATTATAATCTTCCTCAGACATTTTAAGGCTGCTTCTGTTTCCAGCATCAACTCTCAGTCATATCTTGTCATATGAAAACAATAAATTATTCCTTTATTTGCAGCAGCTGTATCATGCATGCTGCTGATTTCAAAGTCTTCATAGTTTCAAACTTTTTATTACAAATAAAAGTAAAAGAAAGGGTGCCGTGGAAGTGTAATAACAACGTGTTTCCACAATAAGAGAAAACAAAGGAGAAGAAAATCGAAAAAAATATATATATATGTTTTTAATTTGAGCTCTTCTGCTGCATGTCCTCGTGAGCAAATGTGGACTGTTCAATAAAATCCTCAAATAAAAATAAATAAATAAATATGAAGACGTGAAAATAAATAATAATAATAATCAGAGAAAATTTGCGATTAGCCCCATGTGACGATGTGGCAGCATTTCATGCACAAGACCGAGTTAGTTTATTCAATATATACAGTAAAAAAAACATTTTTTATAAAGAGCTTTTCAAATCAGTTCCATCAGTCGTTTTTGAGAAGAGTGATAAAAAATGTTCTGCTGCCATAGAAAAATTTATAATTATTGAAAAGGTCTGGTGAATTTAAATGCATACAATTGACAGAGCTACAGACATTGAACTATTTATTTAAAGAAAAATGCTTTAAATATATTTCATACCTTTATTTAATATCTCTCATCACATTCAAATCTGTCCGTAGATATTTTTTTTAACGTTTTATACGAGTTTAGTGGATGACTTAAATAAAAAAAATAACAATAACTTGATTTTTGTGATCAGATCCAGTCTGAACAATAAACATCCTGTATGTCTTTGCTGACACGAGTTCTAAACATTCGAGCCGACCCAGACGTCTGCGTTTCATCCTCTGCTCTCGGAGCTAATGGATGCTCATAGTTTCTTCTGTTTTCCATAAACACTTCACAGTCCCCGTACTCTTTGAAAAGTCTCTATTCTTCCTCCAGTTCTCCTCCACGTTGCCGTAAGAGACATTTTGGTAAAACATAATTAAAAGGGCCATCTTTGAACTACTTTAAACGATGAAGCAGAATGAGGAGACAATTTACTGAAATTAAATTGTTGTTTTTTCAGTCAACATGTAGGAAATGGGCTTGTCCTTTAAATACCCCTTTGAATTGAATCCTTTCAGTGCTTCAAAAAATCCACTTTATAACCATGCCTTCATGTTTCACATTGTTTCAGAAGCCGAATGTGGATTTTAATAACATCAAATTAATATGTTCTCTGTTATACCTCATTTACAGAATCAGCACTTATTCACATTACAGGCATTTGCAGATATAAATGTGATGTTGAAATTTGCACTTAATACTCTATAAGCCCTTTGAATGAAAACATTTATGTGGCGTTTTCAACAACTCAAGGACTATAATTTTCAGAAACTTTCAAAACTGAGCCCTTAAAGTGAGGAACTTAATGCAGAGGGTCTGAAGTGTTCATCACAATCAGTTGTGTCAGATCTGCAATAAAAATAAAAAAATAAAAAAAACAATGCCCACCAACTTTAAGACAAATGGTACCAAAACACGTCAGATTGTTTTCAGTTCAATTCAATTCAATTCAAAAATACTTTATTAATCCTAAAAGGAAATTAAATATTGTTGTAACTTGTTATCCTCGTTTCATTGAGAGATGTTATAGAAACTGATGGCTGTAGGCAGGAAGGATCTCTTGTAAAGGTCCGTCCCACAGCAGATCCGAAGAAACTGGCCACAGATGTCGTCCAATCCATCCACCCATTCGGCTGTCCTCTCGGTTTCTCCAGGACCACCCGAATACTGGGCAGAACTCCTCCCAGAGTGATGGTCACTCCTCCCAGAGTGATGGTCACTCC